GTGTCATCCTTCAAAGTAGATTGGGAATAAAAAAACAGGTCAGTCTTCTTATTTAGAACCTCGATTTTATACAAAGCAACTCAGGCTTAAAGTATGACTGAAGAAATGATGACTCAGCAAGCTCTTTCAGATTAATGCCTTACCTGATGGGAATGGGTTGGATATTGGATTATTATGCAAAAATGTAACCTAAAGTGTAGGGCTGTGTATTGGCAAGAATTTGGCGAAACGATACATATCATGACAGAGGGGTCACGATACGATATATTCCGATATATTGCGATACTGTAAACAAGGCGATATATTGCGATTTCTTTTGATTTTTTTTGTCCAAAAATTCTGTTAAATAAAAAACCTCTTACAGGGAAAAAAAAGAAAAACCAAAATTTATTGTCTCAGAAAATTCTAATATTACAGAGACATACTTTTGATACATTTAGCTGTGTTCTGCTTTGTATGTGTTTTATTTTATTTGTTTCATATTTCTTATTTCATCCATGTTTTCAATTATTAGACTAAATTTGACAATAAATAGTTTGAAAATATATTTTTGCAGCTTTTAGTTTTTAATATTAATTTACAATATGATCACCAACACTTAACAATGGAACCAAATGTCTGGCTCACTGCTGCCAACTAGTGGTCTGAGGCTGAACTACAACATAAAATGAACGGCTGACAGGAAAGTTGACATTTTAAACCTTAATAAAAAATCGATACAGTATCGGGAAATGAAATATCGTGATATTTCAGTGTATCAATATTTTCTTACACCCCTACTAAAGTGTTGTGAAGATGCCAACGCTTTGTAGCAAAAGATGACACATTACTCTTTTCTGAACAGAAAAAATATAATTATTCTTTGTTCTGTTTCAGTAAATTTGTTAAAGTTATTTTACACTCTTTGCACAAAAGGATGGGTGTAAATGCAGCTAAATTTACACAAAACTACTGACAGGATTTAGGTCTTTCTTTTACAAACACTCAAAAACTGGAAGTTTTTTGTGTGAACGCTTCACAAGCATGCACACTATTCAGATCATTTTATCTTCTGTATTTTTGGCACGTATCTCGTTCTGCAATTTTTGTGCTTTTTTAGCAATTCATATATCAAGACATGCAGCCCCTTTGGTATTTCAGCTATTTATATTATTTTTTAACTATTACACTTTTTTTGGCCACTTTTTTTCCCCATTGAAAATGAATGGAGCTGTTTTCAACATCCTTAAAATCCTTTAAAATGTTTCTAAGTCTTTACATCTTACACCTTTTTTCTAGTTCTTCTCTTTTTAACTTCCTTGTGCTAATTTTAGCTACTTTTTTTGCTAATTTTAGCTTTTTTGCTGCTATTTCAGCTGTAATTCTGCTTCTTTCTGCTTAGTTCAGCAAACTTGTGCTTCTTATGCTTCCTTATTCTAATTTAGAAATTTCCAGCTACATTTTAGCTGTTTTACTGCACGTTTTGGCCTTTTTCGCTATTTTACAACAAATTGTCACGTTTTTGTACTTTTATACACTTTTCTGCTAAATAGACTTTTTTATACCCTGTTCACCATCTGGGTGCTAATTTCAGTTTGTGTCTGCTACCTTTTAGCTTGTTTTAAAGATAATTTTAGTTTTCTTCCTGCTGTTTCAGCTATCTTTCTTTGCTCCTTTCTATTTCGCTGCTAAGTTAAACATTTTTATGCTTCTTTCGGCTTTTCAGATGGAACTCTCATTAACTGTTTTGCTGTTATTTTGCAATGCAGTTTCTCTAGTTAAGTCTTATTTCTTTAAAATGGGACAACAGCACTGTGAGGAAGTAAAGCCTTGTTTGCTAACCAGTTTTTAGAGCCCAGAGACGTGTTTTCATTGTGATGTAGCACAGCTGCACAGAGCTCAATTTGTTCATATTGATGATTGATCTGTTAGTTTTCCCTCTGCGCTGATTCTTTGCTCACAAATGTGGAAAAAGACAAGATGTTTGACCACTTCCTGTACGAAATATTCCCCAAACGCATCCTCCCAGATGTGTTTGCACAAACATTATAGCTTCCAAGGTTGTGACCTTTCCCATAACGTTTCTGTGTCCCAATGCACAGATTTCTGTTTTCTATCCAAAAGTTCCAGTTTATGTCTGAGCTTTCAACAGGATGTTGTGTCTAATTCAAGCTTTTTCTGTCTGGGGCTGCCCGTTTAGAGAAAGACCATCTTTTGTTATTTGTTGAGTCGTTAAAGGACCAAAAGTTTGATTTGTGAAAAATTGTTTAGCCTCTTGGCTAAAACAATGCGAGCCTGCGGCCTGGAAAACAAGAAAGAAAGCTTTAGAAGCTTTTAATGTGGTAGAGTTTGGGATGTCGTGATACCAGATCTGAAGGGTGTTGGTGTGTGTTTATAGAGGGGGGTGATAGGAAATGAGAAGCTGCCAAACTGTTAGGAAGCAGAGACCTGAGAGCCCCTCTGGGCCACTCAAAGGTTCAGAGGGAACGTGTGGATTTCTGGGTCTGGCACGGACTAAAAGACCGACCAGGTGTTGTTCCTGAGCAGCTCACACCCTCGCCCCGACGCCAGCTTCTCCACAAAGCTTTAGTTTTCAAATGAATGTAGTTTAAAGCTTCTTGGGCAGTGTGTGTTGTGTTCAGGTGCATGCAGAGCAGAGGCCTGTCTGTTTGTGTCAGAGAGAAAAACAATCTCTGAGTTCCTGCAGGGGAGTAGTTTCCATGACTGTCATAGTGAGAATAATGTGGAGAGACTTTAAGTGATTGCTACCTGATACTCAGCTTTGACAGAGATGCTATCTGGGACATGCTCAGCTTGGGCTTCAGATAACTCCTGTCTGTTGTTGGGGAGAGTTTGGGATGTACAGAGAATAATGCTTAAGAGAAGCCAGAGGCTAAATTTGTCCTCTGTGTGCAGGAGCGTTTGGATTTATTTGCCGCAGTATGGAGGACCGACACTGACATAATTAGAAATAAAAGCAGAAATAGATAAATTAACCTTTTAAATAAATAAATACATTTTAAATGCACCAAATAAATTAAAAAGGAGAACTTTACCTCATGTTTTATATTTTAATTGTTCTTCATATTTATTTTCCAGCTTAGTTCCAATAAATTATATATTTTTGACACATATTTTAAATTTTAATTTATTTTTATATATATACATATTCTACATAGTTTTTCCTTTTACTTGTACATGCATTTGTCTCTTGAATGCTTAAATTGATTTTTTTATAATTTTTTCCAACAAGTCTTTTCATTTCAATGTGTTGCATGTTTGTGGTGCAGCAGTTTAGCTTAAAGTTAAGTTAAAATGAATGCACCAGTAATGTTTTCCTCCTTGCCTTTGTTTTAAATTAAACTTTAAACTTTTAGCTAAACTGAAGCAGCACAAGCCTGCAACACAGAAATAAAGACTTGTTGGAAAAAAATCTAAAAATAATGAAGTATAAGCATTTAAGACACACAGATGCATGTACAAATAAAAGGAAAAACAATTAATATATATTTAAAAAACAATACTAAAATTTAAAATATGTGTTCAAATATATAGACTAATTTGTTGGAACTAACCTGGAAAAATAAATATGAAAGTCAATTAAAATTTGAAACAAGAGGTAAAGTTCTCCTTTTTTAATTTAATTGGTGCATTTTAAATGTATTTATTTAGTGGTTCATATAATTCAGCTTTTATTTCTAATTATGTCAGTTTTGGTCCTCCATACAGCACAAGCCTGATAATCATCTATTTGTTCATATCAGGTGTGTTGGAGCAGAGAAACAAGTAAAACATGCAGGGCTGCGGACCTCCAGGACCAGGATTGTCCAGGCCTGTGCTAACTGCTGCGACAGTTCACTCCTCCCTTTGCTGAGGAGTGGAAAAGAGGACAAGAAAAGACAAGAAAACCAACTAGCTTATCACGATAACGATAAATTTGCGATATATTGTGCAGCCCTCCATTCTAATTTATCGTGCAATTAATTGATTTATTGCTTATTGCGACAGCCACGCCTAGCTTTGTATTCATTCTTCATTTTAAATGATTGTTGAATGCATTTAAATTTTAGCTGGTGGATGTCTAAATCTGAATTATATTATCAGCCCTGGTTTCTAATCAAGGACATTTAAACCATCAGAATCAGGACGTTAAGAGGACAGTGTAGAACCAAAGAGCTGAACTACCTGAGCTTTTTATTTGGATGAATTTACTCAGTCTAGCCCAAAATAACTTTATGCTTCAGCATCGTAAAAAGTTCATTTTACTAATATAAAATATTACAGTTTATTAACTTGCACAGTTTTCTGAGAAAGATAAAAAAATCCCATCAAAGGAGGAATCAGGAAAAGATGTTTCCCTGATAGTGGATCAGCTGTCTCATGACTTGTTTGTTTGAGAGTCTGGAACATTTTGTTCATTGAAAAACAAAAGAAAACAGTGTTTAGTTTGTTGTGGAGATCTTTTAGATGATAGGATTGTTTCTTCTGCCCTTTGTGCCTCACAGAGTGGCTGCAGGCAACAAACTGTGGCTGAGGGAAGGATTTTATTTTTGTTTTGTGGTGTTTGAGCTTCTCATGACTGCTCAGCTGAGCTCAGCCATAATCCTGTCAGGCAGTCGGTAGAAAATTGAGAAAGGGAATGTCTTTGCTTCAGGAAAAGTGGGCTCATGTATCGTTTGAACTCTGCAGGTTTGTTGAGGTTGGCTGAAGGTGTGCGTTTGTGCAGAAATACACTGTTAATGAGTGTGTGAAGCAACACAAGGACCTGTGCAGGTGTTCTCAGGACACCAAAATAGATTATGCTGACATTGTTGACCTGAATATGTCCTCTCTCCATCTTTGGCCTGGTTTGAAATGTGTATTTCTGTAAATAAATTGCAATATTTTTACTTTTTTTGTACATATGTGTTCAAGTAAAACCAAATGTTTGTGCTCTTTTGTTGTTTTATTGTTTTCAGCTCTTGTAGTCATCTTTGCCACAGTTTATCTCTAAAAATGTATTTTCTATCTTTCTGTTTCAGAAACATTTAGACATGGCATCATGATGGAGCTGGGACTCCAGCGCTGATTTGTTAAAAGCAAGAAGAGCTCAAGGTGTAAGCAGAAGAAGAGCACACACTGTGGACTCTGGGCGTCCTCCGGTGCAGATGGGTGAGACGGAGGACGAGCGTACGGCTCAGGCCGGCCAGCTCTTTGAGAACTTCGTCCAGGCGTCCACCTGCAAAGGGACTCTGCAGGCCTTCAGTATTCTCTGCAGACAGCTGGAGCTGGATCCTCTGGACTACAGAAACTTCTACAGCTCGCTGAAGGCAGCGGTCAGCACCTGGAAGGTCAAAGCCTTGTGGACTAAACTGGACAAAAGGGCCGAGCAGAAGGTCTACAACCAGAATAAAGCCTGCCTGGGCACAAGGGTGAGTAGAAACAACTGTAGTTTGTTGTTGTTCTATAAGCTGGTACACAGAGTTGTAAAGTAACTAAGTACAAATACATTGTTACTGTATTGTTTTTGTGTCATTTCAGTAGAAAATGAAGCCAAATATTAGTTTATTTAGTATATTTATTTCTTCATCATCAGTGACTTTTTTATTTTAAGGGAAGAGAAAATAGAGACAGAGAGAGAAGTAATTAGAAAGATAGACTGAAATAGCGATTAGAAGTATATTAGATATACACCAACAAAACACAGGACCACACACCTAACATCTGTCCGCTCACCTGAAAAATAAATGGATAAATAAATGGAGAGCATACAGTATATAAATATATACACATACCCATACATATATAAAGATATACATACATACATACATGCCTACATTCATAAATATTGTCCGTATATACACATGTACATATATAAACACTCAGTGACCAGTCAGAACCCCCCGCATCAGAACACCTGTTTGTGAGCAGTTGTGAACATGCGTGTAAATACAAGATTTCTCCAATGGAATATTTAATAGTGACTGTGGAGGACCGAGACCCAACCCCCAAGACACGAGGCAGACATAGGGAAGACCAGAGACCAAGGGCCCGAGAGGGATCCCGAGCGCAGAGCCCCAAGGGGCACCCGCACGGGAAGATCCGCCCACCCACCCCCAAGATCAGACCATTGGGGAGAACTGGGAGAGTCCCCCCAGCGACCACACACACAGCCCCCGGGTCCAGCAGCGACAAACTCATGGGTCCCATAGCCTAATTTTTACTTCTACTTCTTACATTTTCACACAGTTATCTGTACTTTCTACTCCTTACATTAAAAAAGGCAAGAAGTAGAAAGTTGTTACTTTTATTTCCTTTTTGCTTGTTTTCATTCCAGCTTGTTGTAAAAAATAAATACTATAAACTGTGCCTCCTAGATAGAGTGAATTTAACTGTGGTTGAATGAGAAGTATAAATATATAAAACTCTGATAGTGTATTAGTTTGTACACAAACAAATCATATCTATCTATCTATCTATCTATCTATCTATCTATCTATCTATCTATCTATCTATCTATCTATCTA